ATCTACATGAAAAATTAATGTTAGTTTGCTTTATAAACTATGGTCCAAAAATGTTTCCTTACAAAAACTCGGGGTGTTGAAGTTTTAGGATAAAAATGGAAATTAATTAATATTTTCAGAACCGCATTGGATATTCCACTAATATTTAGTACGTAGTGAAATTTATTAAAGTTGCATATTTTTCAATGCAAAAATAATGTTTAGCTTTAACAGTAGCGTGCGTACGGGTATTGACTTCGATATTTTTTAAGAAAAAAATTGTACGACAACGGTTTTTGCCAAATAAAAATTATTTTTGAATTCCCCGTTCAATTTGAAACAAATGATCCTTCTTGCGTTGCTTTAATTCGATGCACCATTTTTGAGTAAAAAAATAAAAACCGTTCTGCCCGAGAAAATTAATGTAATAATTGAAGAATGCAATTTAGCAATAAATATCTAGTTGCTCTGGAATCTGTCACTGGCTTTTGACATCAGACAAGTCTCTGTTATTCAAATATGTTCGCTGTGACATCTTTTTCATTATTTAGTTTTTACAATCTTGTTAATAACCGTGAATTACTCAAATGCAGAAATATGGCCTTGCAGACGGAATGGTGAGCAAGCCAGACGGGTTTATCACCAGAGATGTCCCGATCGTGGTTTGCCAGATAGTCGAACCTTTTCTAATAGTCATCGTCGTCCTGTTGAAACTGGTTCTGTCCGAAAAGGAACATCTGAAAGTAGACTTCTAAGTGTAAGAACACCTGAAATTGAGGAAGCAGTGCTGCACGAAGTCGAAGAACATCCTGAAACGAGTACGAGGAAGATCGCTAGACACTTAAATATTTGCCATCAAATTGTTTGGCGAATTTTAGTGGATTTTTGTTATATCCTTACCAAATTTTAAGAGTACAGGCATTACTTCCCATTGATTTTCCAAGGCGTGTGACCTTTTGTCAGTGGTATCCCTATGCCGTAACCGAAACCCATATCAAACTTCAATTTTCGGTCAACGTATGGGCAGGAATTATTGGCAACCACTTTATTAGCCCATTCTTCTTGCGGGACAGACTTACCTCAATTTTCTTCAACAACAGTTGCCTTTGCTGCTTGATGATGTTCCATTAACACTGTAGAGTAAGAGAAAGAATAGTTGCAGCTTGTGTTAGAATAAAAAACGCTCCAGGGATATTTCAACGAGTGCACAATTCCATGAGAAGGAGGGCGGAAACATGCATACTAAGTGAAGGGGCCATTTTCAACAACTTTTGTAATCATTTCGTTGGTTTTAATGTTATGTTTATGTTGTCAGTTGTTGGCGTTCATTAACCCTAATGTGTTTAATTTTTCCAATTAAATTAATCTAGTAATTTTGCAAGTTAGACAATAGAACGGTTTTTATTTTTTTACTCAAAAATGGCGCATCGAAGGAAAGCAACTCACGAGAGATCATTTGTTTTAAATTGAACGGGGGATTCAAAAATCAATATCTAAGTCAATACCCGTACGCTCGCCACTGTTAAAGCTAAACGTTATTTTTGCATTGAGAAATATGCAACTTTATTAACTTTCACTACATACTAAATATCGGTGAAATATCTGAAGCGGTTCTGAAAATATTAATTAATTTCAATTTTTTCCCTAAAACTCATAGTTTATAAAGCAAACTAACATTAATTTTTCATGTAGAATCACACCCTTAAATATTCGCATATCATTGAGGAACACCCTGTATACTGTATTCCGGTACTCAAAAAGGCATCTGAAAGAGACTATCGTCATCTATAATACAGTAGCAGAACAAAAATTGAGTTTAAAAGTCCACTTTGGAAAGAGTTAGTTTTATTGAAATCACAAGCGCAAAACGCCATCTAATACCAGAATCGACCACTGCCAGAGTGCACAGCAGCTATCGGTTGGAACCGTAAAGTTCTCAGTTCACATTAGGTAGCCCAGTTACAACTGTGATCGCTAGAGACTGACGATATTCTGGCGGTATAGTAGCTGTGGAACAATTAAACATAATGCTTTCGTGCTCTTTGGTAACTCATCAGCATGGTCCAGCCTTGGCATCTGGCTTAACGAACATAATTAGACCTGGTCTACTATACCGCCAGAGTCGTCAGCCTCTGGCGGTCACAGTGGTGACTGGGCTAACAAATCTTTACAGTTCCAACTGACAGCTGCTACACTCTCGCATCGATTTTTGTAATAGCTTTGTGCTGCTTTATTATTTTAGATCTCATACCTCGGATGGAGGATAGTTGATATGCTTTCGATCGTTTAGTCTAGTGTTAGAGTGTTTGGTTGGTGGCGCTAGGACAGTTGGAATACATCAACCAATGCCACACGCGTCTCTGGATATACCTGCGTCGCGGTCTGACTGAGGGTGGCTGCCGTGGCTGCCGAGTGACGAGTTTAGTCATAGCAACGTTGCCAGATGGTCGACTCCGTACGGCAGGTGGGGAATTTATAGATCGCAGTGTTGTCAGATGGGTGTGACTATGCACATATTGTATGGATCTATTTGAAAGACTTGATCCTTCTAATTTTTTTATTATACATGTTCGTAGACAATTTTTACCTCAGACTTGTGCCGAACATAATCTTGTATGAACTGATGACAGCGTTGCGTGAGAAGTGCAGAGTCAAATTCCTTAACTCCATTTTTTGCCTGGCATATTTGAATTCAGCCCCCCAAATTACCTATATATGTATCTAGTGTCATGCGTTCCCTATTAGAAAATTTTCCTCCAGACATTTTTCATCTTAACTGCAGTCGAAAAGTTTCAAGATGTCACCGAAAGGTGAGCCGAACTCGTTCGTCTGTAGAATGCACGGTGTGCGCTAAAAATAGTTCAACCTGTATAGTTGGAATAAGGTCGTCGACACTATCCAACACGATGTATAATTAGATTCAAATGGACTTTTCAGATCATCCACGATACTGCGCTATACACTAGAGACGTTATGTAACATCAGTCTTCCAAAGTATCTATGTATGTCGGAATTACCTAGTGAATACAGTAACGATAAATGTAATATGTAGTAGAAGAAGAAATACAGACATCAGTGTTGGCAAAAAATGGCCAATCCAAAGATGAACTAGATAATGATTTAGTAAATAGTGCTAATGGCTCCACTCCAAATGCCCAATCCGACCATTTTCCAATAAAATATACGGGGACGCCAGCTGCATCTCGGCAACCGTTTAACCTAGAGCTATCACTAAAAAAAAATGTATTACAAAGGTGGCCAAGAGTAATTGCTGGAAATCATTTTCAGCTTCCTAAAATGATTGCGTGATTCTAACTTTGTGTATATTTGCTTTCAATTAGGATTAGATCTACGATACTACCGATTAGCATTATATGCACCGCAGCAAGAGATACGAGTACTCCTGCCGATTTTATACAAGAATAAATTAGACAACACGAACGACTACTGATATAGTAAACAAATTGCATTCCTTTACACCCGATAACTTTGATACATTTCTCATTCGAATTAGATATGAACGTGATTACTATTCGAAAAGCGAAGACTAAGATCTATGGATGCAGGCAATGGACATGCATATAGGCCGTCTACTTTTTTTCGTTTTACACACTTTCGCTTACTAACGCCATAACGATGTTGCAGTAGACTGGATATGAATATGAAATTCTATAGAAGTAGTAGAATTAGTCAAAAAATAATTAATAATAGTATGTCGGCTGGGTGTTTAAGACTCTTTAGATCGCTAAGATGCATCATCATAGATTGAAACATCAACCTGGGTTCAAAGACATACGCAAAATACTATGTTGATAAAGTTCTTTTACATTTAAAATTGGGTCTACCCAAAAATGGACCTTTGTGTATAAGTTTTATAACGAAGGGTAGAAGAAAAAGCTCCTTGGCTAAAGTTATAACAAATTTTGCTTCATAACTTTTTCGGTGCATTATATTCGATATTCCGCATATTTTCAGACATAAATGGAATGAAAATGAGATCTTATACTGAAGTCGAATCCATTACAGAAATTGCGTCGCCAAATTACTCGTCAAAAAAGAATCATTTTTCTAAAAGAATTGAAATTCGCGGAAACTGATTACCATTTCAATTTCAATGCGTGTAATGTTGATATTAACATTAGGCTGTTGTCAGGTTTACCGTTGCGCACATTTCTGTGAATACATATTACGAGGAAAAGTGGTTTACCCTACTTTCACGCTTTATAAAAATACACTAAAAGCGCGGCTCCGCTAGAGTGGAAGCAGTGTGAACAATGTCATTCGTTTTCCATTGGTGCGAAGGAGATTAGTTTCGGAGAAGGAAATGCAATATTCAAAGTAATACAATAGTTACTTTTGTAATAAACATTTTGTGTCCGAGATTTTATTGCAATAATAAATTACCAACGAAAAAAAATCAGAGGTTTATCTGATCTTAGCATGACCTTCAAGGTCATGGTCAGGTTCATCGGCAAGGATATATTTGACCTCAAAATTGTCCGCAATATGCATTTCAGGAATTAAAAATAGATCTTTCCCGTTAAAAGTGACCTTGACGATCATAACAAGGTCATGGCCATACTTGTAGTTTCAGATGCTCCTGACCATTTTACTAAACATTTTTGTAGGGGTTAAAATTTGTGGATGGGGAGGGTATATCCCAATTTTTTTGACGTTAGGATATTTACTACTTTACTCCAACTCCCATCATAGATTTACATTTACCTTCAGAATTTAGCTGTTAAAGTCAGTATCGTCATACACGCGGGATTACTTATAGCCACGATGATTTGCGACGGCAGAAGTTTCTCTCAAGGGAAGAACTGATGACAGCATTGCGAAGGAAGTACACAGTCAACTTACTTGATGCATCTTGTACATCTTTGACCCACAGATCGCCTTCAAATGTATATATCACTGACGTTTCGGCAGCCACGACATATTCTTTAATATCGTTGAATTTTGCTTTTTCCAGTATGGGGTTTTGTTGGAAAGGAGGAAGATAAAATAAAAGTCTTGCGAATATACTCAGCAGGTTTATTTTGTTGATTGGAGTGAGAGAGGATTTCAACATCTTAGGACACAACCATGTACATCAATTTTTTCCATACATTTTTCGATAAAATTAACGAGTGTAAATGAAACAGTGTGTTTCCAAATGTGGACAGGAAAGGAAAATACAGCGTTGCAACATTGGGCATGAAAGAGCAAATATCACATTAACAACAATACAGCCTCATCTTTTTTTTATACATAGGTTTCTCTTTCCGACGAAAATGGCATTTTCCATGTTAAATACCTTTTAAAATCGTCAATCAATTCTCTAAATTCTGGATCACATCAGTGTGTTTTTTGAAGTTCGATTTTTTAAAAAGCACTATTAAAAAAGTGACATTTTTAGCGCAAAAGTATATCGAAAAATAAGCGCATCCTATCGATCCAAAAAATTGTACAGAAAGTTTTTATAAACATACACGTACAAGGTGTAGAAGTTCTAATGTCGAGATCGAGAAAAATAGTTCATGGGAGGATAAACTTTTGTAAATGCGGCACAAACAGCATAACCAATGCATGCAAAATTTTTGGGGTTTCAAATTACACCAATGACGAAGCAACTCGTATATGTTGACTTTACAGAGGATAAGAATATTTCGTATGCCACTGAAACATCTCTAGCATTTTTGAATAAAGTATTGCATTTTCAAATAAGGTATGTGATTTTACATGAATGATCTTTTTTAAGAATTTTTATCAGGCCAGCCCTTTTAGAATATGTGAGATAAACAGTATAAACAATCAATTTCGTTTTGATTTGAAAATATGCTGGATTTCATCTTACCATACATTATTTGGAGAAAATTCATCTTCTATCTACTATAAGCGTAGCCAGCATCGTAGAAATTTACAATACCATGTACCTCTTCGTAATGGAACATTTGAGAACCTGTGTTTGCAAAAACTTTTGCCAATTTTTGGATGCACATTTAGTTCACAAAATATAGTTTTTCTAATTCACTATTGTTTACGGTTTTTTGTCCAAGTTCGTCGGAGAGTTTATCCAGTGACATCTTTTAGAGGATATAAAAATAGAGATAAAAGTCAATATGTGCAAAATTAACGAAGATCTTTAATATACTCACATGAATTTTAAACAGTTTACCGGTAAATATTCAACAGTTATTTATTCAATACAACAGCCGATGATCATTTTTTTTTCATAAAGTTTTTAATCAAAAAACCTATAATATGTACAAACTTAGTGGATGTTATTATTTAAAGTAACATTTCTCTATGTACAGCACTATATACAAAATTTTCGTTAAATGTACAAAATACTTGAGTTTAACATCTTTTTTTAGAGTTTAGGCCCAAAATATTGTATTTTGTCAGGATTTTTCTTTAGAGTGGGGGAAATATATGGCACCACTGGATTCGGTTGAAAGTTTTGTAATTTTTTACATCCTATCAACTTTTTCTACTATTCCGATTTTGATCGGCACAAACATCGAAAAAAACTTTGTTCTATTTCTGTTAGGTAAGATCAGATGCCTAGAGGACACCATTTATCAAGATCTTGTAGAGGCTACACTCATTAATGAGCGATCAGTGATCCTGAAAAATATCGAGTTGATATTGTGATTGTCACGAAGATACGTATAAAATGCCCATATTCAAATTTCTCGACGGTTGTGCAAATCAAAAAGGCTTGGTAACTATATTTTCCATAAATCAAGTATTCTAGCAAAGTTTTCTCTACTAGTTTCAAGACACTTCTTTAAGGCATTCAAGATAGGTTTTCCAAACATCTTTCTAGGGTCGTTTTGCGATTCATTAGAACTGTGCGTATGTATGTAGACAAGGTTATACTGGATGATTTTGAACGAACTACAACAATTTGTCAAAAAAATCTAGTGGCATGTGACAGCTATATATATATATATATATATAGCGGAATAGAGGACAGTTGATCCGCTTTCGTTCGTTGTCACCAAGCCCAAACTATCCGGAGGAGTTGCCAAATAGCACGAAACGTCTGTGGTAGAACGAACGAAAGCTATATTACAAGTTTGCTGTAATTTATTCAAAACTTTTGTTGTGAATTTAAAACTATAACAAAAAATAAATAATATTTATTTACAAACACATACATGGCGAGTAGTTTCTTCTGAAGAAAATATAGCATTTTTTTAAATACATACTGTCGCCTAGTACAATAAATTATTATATTAATAAAAAAAGTTCGGAATGTTCAAAGAAACAGCGTTAATTGGCAACGTTTTAAAATATAATGGATTGGTCAAAGTTGAAAATCAAATATTCCTTATTTTACTCCTCCATCCACTATGGTATAGCAATAACAACTTTTCAGTAATCAATCAATTACTTTTTTAAATGTTAGCCATCACTGGTGTCACTTTCAATTAACTACAAGCGAAAACACCCATCCAATATTTTTTTACCATTTTGCTATTTGACTATACGTTTCTCAAAATATTGTGGAATTTTTGCATTTTCTTCTTTGGTCAATCCGGAAAATGATAATTAAAGCTCTGTTACTCATTCTAACATGTTAAAAAATCTAGTAGTGTTTAGAACACGTAAAAATAGTAAAAATAAAATATACAAATGACCAACAATCACTTTGAAACATACAAAAATAGGATTTAAATTTAATTTCATTCTAAATAACAACTGGGTTCGCGCGACTCTTAGTCGTCGCTAAATTTATCATACAGGGTGCCTCATAATTCGAAAGCGTAATTTCAAAGATGTTTTTCGAAATGTTGTGAAAAACGATTATGGACAACCTGCATCTAGGTTCAGTCTGTGATATCAGCAGCATTCAAAATGGCTGAGACTCGGTATTTATAACAATACATATTGTATGTACAACAACTTTAGGGGAAACCTAACCTAAAGTAAGGTCTGCGAAGCTACGATTTGGAAAACTCACGGCTTATGGACCTTACTGTATATAAAAAGCTAAAGGACGATGGGCAATAATACGTGGCTTCTGATAATCGAAGGAATAGTAATAGAACATACAAAGTGATTTAAAGTAATATGCAAGGGGTACGGTACAAATAAATCAGTAGTGGTTCAAGATTTTTCCTGGCTATTCAGTTGTGACCTTGAATTTGACCATTGCCGTCACCTTCAAGGTCAAATCAAGCTCAAGATGGTTTTGTTCATATGACCCCGGAAATAAACAGAGCAAAAAATTTACTTTCAGATATGAGCTTGGGTGAAAATCATGGAACATTTTAGGGACCTTTCCTGGCTATACACTGCTGACCTTGAAACTGGGAATTCATGTCACGGTAAAAAAGACGTCATCAAAGCTTCCGCTTTATTTATCTATCAGAAGTACAGGGTATCAGACAGATATTTGTCTTGACTTCGACAATGTCAGTCTCAAGGTCACTAATGAATAGCCAGGATAAATTCTGACTTGAGGTTCTTAGTGTTATGCTTGATGTTCAGAAACCTTCCTAAAACCTCATTCCACCAATCAAACAGGTTTGTTACGATGACCTTGACCAGGAAATCAAAGATCAAAATGTTATTTACCCAAAGCCATGTCTGAACATGAAAGTTTTTACTCGATCCATTTGCGAGGCAAAAGTATAGAATATATATATTAAAGAAAATTGACCTGGCATTGGTTGGACCATCAAGGTCATGGTAAAGGTCAGTTCAAGGTCATCAGTGAATAGCCAGAGTAAAGGCGAAGCTGCTGCTCCCTTCGGGTCCTTTTTTTTTGCTTTATTCTCAGAAAGATTCCGGATATTTTTTCAAACTCGTCGTGACGTTTTTTAAAGTGACCGTCGACGTTCAAGGCCATGTCTGAATGTAAAATTTTCTGTCCTATCCATTTCCGAGGTCAAAAATGTGAGCCCCATTAAAAAAAACGCCTTGACCTTGATTTGACCATCAAGGTTATGGTGGAGGTCAAATTCATGGACACCAGTATCCCTTGCAAAATGCCCATTCTCCTTTAACGATCATTTGAGATTTTACACATGATTGTTCATTATTCTGGTCGGTAAGCAATGTGAATTCCACATTTTATCGTTGGCCTTCGCAACTTCTACATCGTACATTTTATAATAATGAAAACACATGGCAACATGGCACAGACTTGGACATACGGGACTTACACAAGCCTACGAGATCATTTTCAGGTATCTTTAGTGGAGTCGTTGGGACTTAGGCCGCAATTTTACGAAATACTTGCCAAATGTGGTATAGCGGGTAGTACACTCACTATAGTAGGATCGATGAAGGTATAACAATTTGAGTTAATTTTTAATCTATGGATTTTTGCTATACATTTTAAGATTCGTGTTTCAGGATTTTTTATAATAACAATGTTGGAGTAGCTTTAAAGTTAGTCAAATTGTATAACTACTGTATTAAGTTTTCTAATCCGTGCGATAGTAATACTGCCTATCTGCTTTTGTGTTTTCTAGTCACCGGCAAATCAAATGACTGTCTAAAGATTCAGTGTATATCACGCATCTTTTGACACTTGTTTTTATTCAAATGAGTGATTTTATTTGTGTTTTTGGAGGTATCTGAGAAGATAGATTGCACAATCAAGATTGGTTAACTATCTGGCTAGTCTATTCCAAAACCCTTACCGCACATGTAATATCGCAAATCGCGGCCTAGTCGATCTGCACGATAATGATCCTGGTCCTCTCTAGGTCCAAGACCTCCCCTGGCTGGGAGGAGCACAACAGCACTAAGTCACCGCCTCCCATCTCCTGAGCGGAGGGGGGACGGTCGGGGAGCTGTTCTCACAGGGTGCTCGTGACGGCCGTGGCGAGTCCCAGTTGGTCGTCGGTCGGCGCCCCACCACTTGAGCCTGAAGTGGAGGAGGGCACATGCGGATGGTAGTGGGGATGATGGTGATGGTGGTGGGTGGAGGGACTATGCTGGGGAGGAACTTGGTGGGAGGACGTTGAAGGTTGTTGCTGCTGGGAACCATTGCCTCCGCTGCTACTCGTTGAAGTGCTTGAGGCTAGCTTAGATTCTTTCTTCATGCGCTGTTTGAGGTGGACCTGGAACAAAGGAGATATGCGTCAAGTAGGTTATTCATTGATGATTAGTCTTTATTCAGGCTCATCAGTACGATGTACACTGTAGTGTTATCGACACCTCCGCCTATGATGAAGTAATAAATATACAGGGTGTTTCAGTTTATTGTTGTATAACTTTAAGATTCGATAGAACTTTTAAAATTAATGCATAAAGTCTATATAAACATGGGTCGAAAAATGCGTGGCTTCCGAAATACAGGGTGTTTAAATTTACTTTATAAAATAGTTTTTTTAAATATTTCGAACAATATTTGATGTATAACAGTGAAAATTGGTATACAAGGGTTTTTTGGTACGTCAAAACGAACCATGGGCATAGTTTGACTGTAGCCGCTAGAGGGCGCCCTCTACTGTACCTGTAGTGTATTAAAATGACCGAAAAATTGTTCTTAGTGCAATTTTTTGCTTTTTGAATAAAAAAGCTGATTCTTCGCACTTTTCAACATAATTTTCGTTATAGTTAGCCGTTTTTGAGATATTTCGATTTTTAAGGTACGATGCATTTTTAATTATTTATGATAAAATAACGTTAAGAAGTCAGTATCTCGATAATTTTTAGAAGTAGGCTGTGGCTGCAAACATTTTTGAAATTGAAAGCAGAATAAGGTTAAACGTCAATTAGTTGACAGTTAGTTTTGTTGTCTGTTGAAACCTGAAACGTTTTTGCAATTGTGAATGCACGAAATTTAGTTTCTTTTACCTGTTTTTTTTGGTAAGTTTTATAAAAATACCATTTTTATTATCCAATCAAGATTTAGCGGATATTCATTTTGTGTATGGCTTTGTAAATGGAAACGCAGCAGAAGCAGCCAGAGAATACGCACGAAGATTTCCAAACAGACGACATCCAACTCGCTCAGTATTTGTAAGAGTGCATTGCCAAATAATTGAAAATGGTTTTGAAAATCTCCAAAGGGATCAAAACATAAATGTTCGCCAGCGCAGATTTACCCGTATGATTCTGCGTGAGTTTGATAGAGATCCGACCACAAGTGTTAGGAGAGTTTCTGGTGCCTTGGGAATTTCAGCAAGCTATGTTCACCGCGTTCTTAGAAATGACCATAGACGTCCTTACCATTTGCATCCTGTGCAAGGACTACAGCCAGGGGACGGAGAACGAAGAATCACATTTTGTCAGTGGATTCTTGATAGAACTGATAAGAATAGGGAGTTTTAAGTAACGTTTTATGGACCGATGAGTCATGCTTCACTCGACGTTGAGTGGTAAATTTTCATAATCAACATATTTGGTCGCATGAAAATCCGCACGCAGTTCGGGAAAGAAATTTTCAGCATGAATTTAGTGTGAACGTGTGTATTGGTATCTACCGTAATCGACTATTTGGACTCTACCTTTTGCCTGCAAGGTTAAATGCTACGACCTTCTTGGAATTTTTAAAGGCTGAACATGCAAATATGTGGGATGATGTTATGTTAGATTTAAGAAGATTGGCCTGGTTCCAGCTTGATGGTTGTCCAGCTCATTATTCGAAAATAGTTATAAACTGGCTGGACGAAAATTATCCAGAAAGATGGATTGGCCGTGGAGGACCAGTCGTCTGGCCTCCACGATCCCCTGACCTAAATCCATTAGATTTCTTTGTGTGGGGATTTCTAAAAGAAAAAGTGTACCAGACTTCCGTAACCATAGGAGATATGCTAATAGACAGAGTCAGGAATGCTTGTGATGAAATAAGGCCTTATTTGAATAATGATATACCACGTTCGATCATTCGTAGATGTGAATTGTGTATTGAACAATTGGGTTCACATTTTGAGCAACTACTTTAGATTTTGTATGTTTGTCCTAACTATCCAATAGCATTTTAGTTGTAAATAATTAATTTAATTTGTTAAAAATAATATTGGAAAATTAAACAAATTAATATTATGTTTTTTGTGTTTATTTGGCGATAGGAATTATTGCTGTGTTTAAAAACACAATCTAAACGATCATCTTAATTACCTGTAATGCCCAAATAGAATATGTAAAAAAAAATATTATTTTCCCATAAATAATTAAAAATGCATCGAACCTTAAAAATCGAAATATCTCAAAAACGGCCAACTATAACGAAAACTCACAGGAGAGCTTTTTTATGCAGAAAAGTGCGAAGAATCAGTTTTTTTATTCAAAAAGCAAAAAATTGCACTAAGAACAAATTTTTGGTCATTTTAATACACTACAGGTACAGTAGAGAGCGCTCTCTAGCGGCTACAGTAAAACTATGCCCATGGTTCGTATTGTTCGAAATATTTAAAAAAAACTATTTTAAAAAGTAAATTTAAACACCCTGTATTTCGGAAGCCACGCATTTTTCGACCCACGTTTATATAGACTTTATGCATTAATTTTAAAAGTTCTATCGAATCTTAAACTTATGCAACAATAAACTGAAACACCCTGTAAACTGTCAGTTTATTTGGATGCATCGAAGAATCTGCTTGTTTATATCAAGTAGTTATATAGATGCAAAGGTAAGAGGTCCTGAAAGAGCGGTTGAAGAAACTGTATGGATTTACGACTTGCCTTTGCTGATGCTTACAGTATAAAATTCTTTCTTCCATTCAGATTTTTCCAGTGTGGATGTCGCGGCTTTTTATTCGCCAACACATGCATCAAGGATATCAAATATCGCCAAGTTCCCGGTATTACATGTTCAAGAATCACGTTTTAGAATGAGAGGACCTTCACGGTTATGTTTATCGGAAGAAATTGCTAACTTGCTCGTAAATCATCAGCTATTATTTTAAGCGGTGCCTGAGTGAATGTGTCATTACCAAACTTCGACGTTTTCTTCATTTATCACGAATAACCAACCAAGGGGATACGTTATTTTTTAACGCATCATTTGCAACTTGTAGTTAACACTTTTCTTATGTCTTTGATAGAATATAATAAATATCACCAGTCATGTGGGCAACATTCTAGAGGTCCAGTAAATATGTCTATAGTTTTATTATATACGGTTTTCCTAACAATGTCTGGCTCACAGATTGTTATCACTATTTTATCACTGTCTTTACAGTCTCTCACTTTAGATGAACGTAAATTCAGTGAGATACCGTTTAATATCCTTGCATAAACATGAAAAAATAGCTCTCAAGTGCTGAATTAGCATGTTTATATTCATTTCACTTTTACAGAAAACTTTTCAACAGAAAATTACTGATTCGTTAGAAGTTTATGATCCAAATGCAACGGGACTTCTAATGCAATATAAGGCTCTGAAAGGATATAGGTACAAAATGTGGATAAACGATGGAACTCTCAAGTGCAGGTAATGTGGAAGTGTAACAGAACGGTTTTCCATGTTGCCTTTGAGTGTGAGGAGCTAGATTTCAAGATAAAACTCTTTGAGGATCTTAGACTAGAGCATGTGCATGGAAACTATACGAATTAGTACATAGTTCAATAGTAGTTATACCAGGAGTGGAATGTTGTTGAAATCTCGTGGGAGGCTCCATTAAACCTTGAGCTTCACCTGCTTTACTGGGTTACAACATAGCGATCTACGTGCAACGGCCGGGCATCTATTGAGAAAGCGGCCACGCAGTGTTGCCAAAGTGGGAGAAAATGTTTATAAACTGCTACATTTATACTGAGCTAGATCTCTTTTCATGTTTCTTATGCTTACCGTAGAACGCCAACGTAACTTCCACGGGGTTACTGCAAACTGCCCAAGCACACACATCAATGCAGTTAACAGAAAACCGCTGTTGTAACTAACTTTAAACGTTCCAACACAGACATCAACTCAAATCGAACGCCGATGAGAAGCAACTTGTCATACTGTCAGTGACAAGTATAAATGTAGAAGACCCATAAGTTGACGAGACGAGACCAAAGGTGGTGAGGCAAAACTAAACACGTATGCCTGTGAGCTTACACAAACAAACAGCTGCGTATACAGTTTGACTTTGACTTGCTAAAAACCGTGAAAAGACCTATATAACAGTTATCTTATTGCATATTCCCTAGATTCATTTTCCAAAATATTATGCACACTAGTAGAAAATATTTAACTCAGCACGAATTTTAACGATCACATTAGCTAAAATATGCTTGCCAGGTCTATTAACTAATTAAGCTTCTGTACTATATGATCCATTATGTGAAAGAATATAAGAATGTCGGCTATCTTTTGTGATTGCTCTGATCGGCAGACTTGCATAAATATAGTATTTTGTACCGTAAAACGTACATATTGAATGAAAAATATATTCCGTGAACTTCAAATGGATAATAAATATCCCCAGCTTGGATAAATATCCGAACAAAAGTAAATTTAAACAAAAAATGATCAATATTCCGCTGAAAGTGATAGACAATAAATTCATTCTAAAATGATTTTCTATCTCTTGCCAAACAACAACAACAACATGTGATTAGACACCACCAGATGTTTTGTGGACGCCATGTTTTTAGTTTGATCAATCTATCTCTTTCTAATCTATTCGCGTTGTCTGACTATATTTCCTCGGTATAACTACTCTTTTAGTTCAAGACTGAAAGATCGATCCGATATCAAATTCACCAATGAGCGCTGCAATGTCCACCTATTGATGAGTCAGTATTTGCTGTATTTCACTCTTTCTTGGGTTTAGATATGGTGTAGTATTCACGATTTCTTACCTTTGCATGCCTCTTTTTCTCATCGCTCCTGGCAAACTTCCTTCCGCATACGTCACATGAAAAAGGTTTCTCCCCAGTATGTGTCCGAATATGTGTGGTCAGATGGTCTGACCTAGAAAAGCTCCTCATGCAGATCCGGCATTGGAACGGTTTCTGACCCGTGTGTATCCTGATGTGCCTCGTCAGTTCGTCTGACCTTGAAAATCTCCTGTCGCAGTTCTCCACAGGACACGCGTAAGGTCGCTCGTGCACCGGCGTTTTGCTGGGTCTGTTCGGATACTTCCTCGGTTTTACTGGTACTAGCTTTAGTGGAATGGGGCTCTGTTGGTACACCTGGAACAATATATTAAAGTTTTTATTCGTATTATGTACAATAGAAGCTCAAGGCCATTACGAAGAGGAAACTTGTTTCTTAGTTGATGGTCAATGTATTAGAGTAACTAAGTTACATACCTGACTGAGTATTTCATGCCCTTTACTCGTCGAGGGGTTGTACTCCGCCAACTGCACCCCAGCGGAATACCCGCTACCCCCTGATCCTAGCTCCCCGCTACAAGTGGTGGTGAACGGTTCCTGCTTGGGTATCAGATTCGATGGTCCTGGAACCACCAATGAAGTGGTGCTCTGAGGTGACCCGTAATCCTGCGATTCCCATTGATACTTGGCTAAAGGCTGTCCTACACGGGTATACGCAAGCTCTTGCTGTTGCATCTCCAGTTGAAGGCTTGTGCTCGTTGCCGAACAGCTGGGGTAGGATGGGGGTTGTTTCAGGGCTAGGTTGCTGGAACATTCCATCGTGAGCATCAATTGTTCAGCTTGTGATCTGTAACAAAATGTATCAAATGTTATCTTTCTGTCAGCGATTTGATCATCGAAGGATTTTACAGGCGTCACTTTTCGATCTCAGAGAAAACCTGCCTTCATTTTGCGCTGCGTAGGTCTATTACGTACAAAGGCTGTTCAAAGGTGTATACAGTAGTAGATCTAGACAGCCCAGAAAGTTGCAAGTTTGGGAAGAAGTTAAGAAACTTGTATTATTACGTCTCAAATTTTCCCTTAAAACAAAGGAATATTCAGACGCGTCGCGTATGGTTCGCGTTCGCACGGGACTGCCTATGCCTGAGCGCTCAGCACGCACCACTCGCGTGGCGGACTAGTGTGGTTCAGCAACGTTGCCAGATGAGCGATAGTTTCGGTAGTGCTGGAAAGAAATTTCTAGCATTATCGAATGGGTGAGGATTGACTGTTTGGCTTACTTAATTTTTCTATTATGTATGTTCGTAGCTAACTTTTGTCGGTCTGATGACAACGTTAGAAAGTGCAGAGTCAATCTACTGGATGGTAAGAGGGAAAGCGTGGATGTATTTCATAATTTGTCGTAGTACCTACCTTTCGTCGTACTGCGTCCCCGCCGGACTGGGCGTCGCTGAGGGATACTGCTGCTGTGGGCTCTGCGCACTACCCTGCAAGAGGCCAAACATGGCCGGGTACATGGGCTTATCCCCGCTAGACAGCAACCATTGGTTCACCGCAGATGGGGAATGCACCATGCCACCCATGGGGCTACCCCCCTGTTGTTGGGACATCTGCATGCTGGGACTGTAACTGCCTCCCCCTCGATGCTGGAGCTATAATAACAATGATAATTAAACACGAAAAAATACTGCCAACCAACAGAAGACTAACCATGTACTGCCGATTCATGCTTATTGGCTATCATCAGCACGGCCTAGGCATGGTCTCTAGGTTGGACAATGAGCGCAAGCAGAACAAAGTATCCTCGATCGAAGGTATAAGTTCCAAGCAAATACTTTAGATCTATCTATTAGCAGAATCGACCACTACGAGAGTGAATAGCTATTGGTGCTGTAAAGGTATCTCAGTAGCTTTTGATAGACAATGTTAAGGGAAAAGGGGAAGAGGAAACGGAAGAAGGAATGAAGAAAGCAAAGAGAAAGAAGAGAACTTTTACCTTCGTGGTCATGTTGTTGTTGGTGCCGGCGTGCTGCTGGGGGTACATGCTGAGGGTACTGTGGTTGGTGTTTTCCTCCTCTCTGACACTGGGCGAAAGGGCCGATTCTTGGGGAGTGTGCCGTTCTGTGGCCACGTGACTGCTGCCCGAGGGTGAGTGGGGATGGGGGGAAGAGTGTTGTTGCTGCTGCTGCTGCTCGATGGACAGCTCTTCGGGGTCCAAGGAACCTGGAACAAGGAAGAGACATTTTATTATATCTCCTCACAAATACATTTGATGCCGTTGTTCTGTTGATTTTATGTAGCGAAAGCATCTGGAAAAACATAGAGTCCCCCAATGATCTACTTTAGACATCTTTTCTTCATAATATTTATGCTGACTTTATTTAATGAAAACACCTGAGTTAAAACTTGCAATAGGAGTTCTTCAAGCAGCTATTATTGGACAACTTTTCTATGTAATATGTATGCTGATTTAATGTAACAAAAACACAGGCGAAGAGATGTAATAAGGAGTTCCTCAATGACATATTTTTCGGATTCTTTTCTTCAAACCATGTTTGCTAATTTTCACAATGACACGCTTGAGAATACACAGAACTGACCAATCTATTCTTCGGCCCTCTTTCTTCATAGTATGTATGCTGAATTTTCTTACAGAAATACCTGAGAAGGTATACGTTAATCGATGCCTAAAGAGTAGCCAAAAGGGTGTGAAGATTCTAAAGCAATCTTTCAGATGATAGCAGAACCAAACACTTTTTTCTTAAAGTAGATTTCTAAATTCATTGTAAGTTTTGCTACTGTCTGGTATAAGGCGCCTAGTGGCTTTGAGATCCCCTTTAGGACGCCTTGATACAGTATATGGTAGGTTATCTTCAGGTAGAATACATTAATCAATGCTGTAATATCCTATAGAAACCATGCGTAAACGAGACTTGTTTAACGCTTTCTCACTAAGTGCAAAGACATAATAAAGAAACACTACCTCAGAGCCCCATTGGATAACGGATGCAACAACAGCATTTTTACTTATGACATTGATGTGGTAAAACGTAAAAAACGCAAATACCCTTGTGAGAATTTTTATGAAATTATTTATTACCAATTTGCTGACTGTTCGCTAAGCATGGATGAAAATTACAGCTTGTCAAGTCTGCCTTATAATAGACTTGCTCCTCATGTTTTATTAGGTTTGTTTCTGTAACGGTTCTCGCATGCTTGTCAATGTCTGATTGACACTTACTTCTCACGCCACTGACGAGGAAATATCGTAATCACAAAATTTTTAAAAAGTAGCTGTTATGTTTTTTGGATGTCATGTGACAAGAAAATCATGAACAAGCGTGTCCCTCATTTCTGTCGGCTTGTCTGTGGCGACGGCCCTACAGGCAAAAAAACGAAAAATAAAAAAAAGTCTTATAAAAACAAGCTTTTAATCAATTTAGATGTTTTGTTTATTACGCCGAACCCTGTATAAAAAACTGTTGAGCAATCCGTCTTGAGTAAGTATAGACACAATTAGGAATTACGGCATTTTCTGAATTCCGAATGAATTTGAGAAACTGAATATAACAAACGTATTTAAACTATCTATTAAAAAGACATATGTCATCGGCTTATAAAATAACACTCTCCACGCTATTGTCGAAGCTCGACAAGTGATTCATAAGCACTGGGACAGGATTTTTATTTTGAGTCATTACTCATTAACGGACGGTTACATAAACCATAAACCGGCCGTTGCTGCCGGCAATCCACCAGCCAACTTAGGCATGAAAACTATAAAACAAATATTTACATTATACGAGCGCTAACAACAGAATATGACAACCCGGTGGTGTCTATAGTTTACAGCTGGGCCAAACAGTTCCTTTCGTGATTCGATTCCATGATTTCAATTCGTTCATGGTTCATACTGTGATTCTACTTCCCGCAATTACAAAACACATCGTAGAACCCACGTTAATGTGATGGATGAGCTATGTAAATTATTTCATTGCTGGTTAGACCGCAAGTTACTCCTCAAAATAAGACACATGCTTTCAAAGAGTTAGAATTTTTCTTCAGGAACTATGATTGGTCCGTTATATTATCAACTGGACTAAATCCGCAGCTCTGCTCGCGTGGAAGTAGTGTAAATTATAGGTCATTCATTTTGCATTAGTGTGACGGAGAAATAAATAAATGTTCAAAGTAATGCAGTAGTTACTTTGGCAATGAACTTTTTTAACCAACATGTTATGCAACAATAAATTAGTTTCGGTGTTTGTCTTTTCTATATCATCGACAAAAAATAAGGAGTTTATGTGAAAATTTGTCTGATCTTAAAATGAGGAAGTTCATTGTCAGGTTCATCGGCAAGGATATAACGGGTGATTTTTTAAGGTATAGGATTTGATTTTCAAAAAAAAAACACAAAAAACTTGAAAAAACGATTAAATCTTTATTTGAGTCGATAGAGCGGTCGATATAATTTAATGTTTAAAGATTATTTCATGTAAATGTTGGCCGCGGCTCCGCTTTAGATGGCCCATGCGCAAGGTTCAATTTTGGCACACTCTCTCCAACATATCGGCCGGTATCTCACGAATAAATGCTTCAATATTGGCTTCCAGTGCATCAATCGATGCTGGTTTATCCCCGTAGACATTAGCCTTAACATGGCCCCACAAGATATAGTCCAACGGCGTTAAATCACACGATCTAGGCGGCCAATTGACGAGCCCCAAACGTGAGATAAACTGTTCACCGAACTCGCCTCTCAATAGGGCCATTGTTTCGTGTGCGGTGTGGCATGTGGCAAGCCAAGTCCAGCTCTTCCATTTTGGGCAAAAAAAAAGTTAGTTATCATCGCACGGTAGCGCTCGCCATTCACAGTTACGTTCCGGCCATTGTCGTCTTTGAAGAAGTACGGCCCGATGATGCCACCGGCCAATAATCCACACCAAACAGTGATTTTTTCGGGATGCATTGGTAGCTCTTGCAATGCTTCTGGCTGGTCTTCACTCCAGATGCGGCAATTTTGCTTGTTAACGTACCCATTCAACCAGAAATGAGCTTCGTCGCTGAACACAATTTTTCGATAAAAATGTGGATCTTCATCCAACTTTGCCAGCGCCCATTCACCAAATTGGAAACGTTGTGGGAGGTCGTGGGGCTTCAATTCTTGCACCAGCTGTATCTTATAAGGTTTTACACCCAAATCCTGTCGCAAAATTTTCCACGTAGTGCAGTAACAGAGGCCCAATTGCTGCGAACGGCGGCGTATCGACATTTCACGGTCATCACTAACACTGGCGGATACAGCCGCAATATTTTCTTCAGTCCTCACTCTACGTCTGCGTGTTGGTGGTTTAATGTCCAATAATGTAAACTGGGTTCGAAATTTAGTCACAAGCTTCCGAATAGCTCCCTCAGTAGGCCGACCAAATTGCCCATAAATTGGAAGCAGTGCTCGATGCACTCTCTTAACCGAGCATGAAGTTTGATAATGACACAAGAGACGATTCACGCGTCATTTGTCAAAAACAGTGTTGCCAAGAAGATACTAGCAAAAAAATCACCCATTACTTGAGCTTAAAATTGACCCCAATTTACATTTCAGAAATTTGAAATTAATGTCCCCGCAAAAAAGTCAAGGTCATGGACATACTTTATGTTGCCCTTTGTATTTCCGGTGCCAAGAGTAAGGGTTTCCATTTAAGAAAACTGTCTGTCAAATGAGCTTAAAGATCATGTCAAGGTCACATTCAATGACACGATTAGCTGCATCTTTTCAGATCTTACAGCTTTATTCATTTTTCTTTATGAAACGCATTTTTGGGATATTATTTTACCCTTTCTCTACTTTCTGGATACCATCAAATACCCATTAGGATCATATGTTTAACGTAAAATTTCCCGCTCTTTACATTTCCAGAAACCAAAATAGGAGTTTCATTTAAGCAAACTATCTTCACCTTCAAATCACCTTGAGATTAGCGTATTTCACCTGAAGATATTCAATAAAAGTAGGAATCAGAGAGCCCAAAAATGGATTGAAGACCTAGCGCCACCTAGAAGACAGTAGCAGAACCAAATAACGATAGTATCCTTCAGCTCCAATTTTGGACGTCGGAATACCGCATATGGTTGACTATGTTAATCGTTAATCAATTCGAGATTATCAGAATCGATTCTTCCGCGTCCTACTGTAATATCGCTCTTTTGCAAATGATTCGTTCAGAATCCACCCAGCTCTACCATACTTTCGCTTCTAACCTTACGCAAACACATTTGGTGTGGCTTGGTCGAAAACGCAGCAAGCAGCCTATGCCTGCTGTGCAGCTCAGCATTTAGTGAATGAAACGCTAAAGGAGAAAAGTCTTCCACCGCCACTTTAGTATTGATCGAGGATGTCCGTATCGCGCACATACGCGGTATGTGCAAAAATCGATAGCGATACATATGGGTAGAACATGCTGCATTCGTTCATCCGACCACATACAGTCAAACATGGACAGGACATAGCAACTATTCTCTATTCGAGGTATGAGATCTACTGAAATAAGACGTCACAAAGCGCCAACAATTTACTAGAATCGACAACTGTGAGAGTGTATAGCAGCTATAGGTTGGTACTTTAAAGATCTCAGTTCGTGTTTGATAACCCTGTCACCACTGTGACGACTTTTCGTGTCGCAATTTTTAAAATTTATGGGGAATACAATACTTCCTCGCCAAAAGGCGTGGGAAGTATAAAAATGATTATGAAAAAACTATGTAAGAATTAACTCTGGAGTTTTGATATTTTTTTGATATCTTAACGTAAAATTTTGTTTTTTCTTACCGCATCCTTTAATGCATGCATTATATAACGATTGAACATGATAAAGGTTTTATTGAATCCCAAATGGAATAATTCAGCAGCAAATCTATTTCCGTCTTCCAATAATTATGCTTCATAGTACCGTGGAATTGATATTCAAATGTGTCTTAATCTTCTTGATAGTAGCCATATTCTTCTTTATGATTGCTCTTTTATACTGCTAATAAGACTGGGCCATAATCAGTCCTTCTGAGGTAACAAGTACGTACTTGCTTGCTTAAATTACATCGAAATAATTTTATAGCATCTTACTGCGACTAACTGTTTCACTGGACCATATCGGACCCTTTGGCTCAACAAGTGCGTAAATGCTGCCGTGGATGGCGTCAAACCTCCCCTGAATCCCCTGGTCATCCCT